AAGGCATTTGAAAAGGGAGTAAAAACTAACTCTTTTTTTACGCAGACGTCATCATCAGTGCTCCTTTTGAGGCAACCTCCAAGGACTTTAGCGGCGCCATTTACATCTACTACGGAGCACCAAGAGGACTCGATACTGACCCTGATCATGTCATTGTGAGTTGTTGTACAGCTCAAGTTGTTTTTGTATCTGTTTTAACTTAAACTCTCTCCCAGAGGATAGACGCCCAGTCAGTCTCAAAGACGCCGCTGCGAGGCTTCGGCTACAGTCTGTGGACGGCGACTGACGTGGACCAGAATGGGTACGGCGATGTGGTGGCCGGCTCGGTGCTCTCCGAACAGGTCACCATTCTCCGCTCCATTCCCATCATTCGCCTCAGTCTGAGCATGCACTTTGACCGAAAGGGCATCAATCTGACGGACACCCGAGGCTGCAATGGCGAGAACGCCTGCTTTCGCGTCAACTTTTGCCTGGGCACGGGCACCAGTCGGCCCTTTCAGAGTGAGCTCTCCTACTCGGTGGAGTTTGTAGTCACCGATCGGAAGCTGCGCCGAGTGGTGGTCGACCGCAGCAGCACGGTCATCGACACTCGAGAAAACAGTGTCTGCCGGCAGGGCGAACGCGCCTTCTTTGTGCAGGTGAAGAAGAAGGAGGACCTCTACGACATTACGACGCCCATTGAGATGACCATGACGGCCACGCTGCTGAGGCCGTCGACGAAGCAGTTCTGCAGGTGGTGTCCGGTGGCGAACCCGGTCACCATCACCGGAGAGGTCAGTTGGTTGGGATAACTCTCTCTGCTTTTTGAATAAGTACCACCTACTCACCCATTGACCCATTGACCAGATTGGCTTTGAGCACGGCTGTGCGAAGAAGGTGTGCGTCAGTCAGCTGAACCTGAAGAGCACCTTCCGCTACGGCGGCGAGGTCATCGGCGACAGCATCGTCCAGGGGCGCTTCGATCACTTTGAAATCGAGGTGGAAGTACACAACCAGGGCGAGTCATCCATCGATACGCTGCTCTTCCTCAGCATCACTCCGCCGTCGCTGCCCATGCGAGCGAAGAGCCTTGCCGAGCGACGGTGCCGCCTGAGCGTAAACTCCTCCTTCCCCTTCGTCAGCTCCTCCTCCACCACAGGTGGCGCCGGCGCCGGCGGCGGCGTCTACGAGTGCGACGTGAGTAAGGTGCTGGCGAAGGGAAAGAATGAACGCTTCAAACTGCAGTTTGATCTGGAGAACATCAAAGTGCAGTCGCTCAGCTTTGATCTGCGCCTGAACAGCAGCAGCGAGACGGCGACTCAAAGTCGCCTCGACGCCACCAAACGCTTCGCCGTGACCAAGGAGGCCTCACTGAGGCTGAGCAGCACCAACCAGCACCACAATGGCACCACCTTCTCCGATCAGACGCCCACCGTTCTCTTTCTCACCTCTTTTCTGGTAGACAAGAGCGGCCCCAGCTCGGTGAACGGCTCCTATCTGCAGTTCTACCTGCCCGATGACATCATCGAGGTGGCCAAGGTGAGCGAGTTGAGGGGGGAATAGCTCACCTTAATCATCCTTTTCTATTTATTCCCATTTTCCCAGCCACCAGTGTACAAGTGCAAGCAGGTGAGGCAGGTGGACACTGTCATCACCAAGGACCACCTCCTCAATGGAACACTCAGTATGGTAATGGCGTTTGTACTTTGTTCTACTTTTTACTAAATAAGCTTTCACTCCCCTGCCACGACAGCCGTGCTACAGCAACCCGGAGCAGTGCACCAAGTACGAGTGCGCCCTGGGGGCCTTTGACTCTAATCTGAAGAGTCAGAACTACGCCCTCGACCTGCAGTTTATCCCGTCGCGCATCAAACTAAACTACGAGCGGCTGTTCTTTCAGCTCCGTCTGGAGCTCTACGCCGATGACATCTTCCTGAAGCGCACCGCCTACGACGCCATCGACCTGGACATTACCTTCGAGCGACAGGCGAGCCGACTCTCCAAGTCCAGTCCGCTCATCATGATCGGCGGCGGCGGCATCGGCCTGCTCATTCTCCTCATCACCGTCATTGTCCTCATCAAGGCAAGTACTTCTGCACTGTTGTTTCGGTACAATTGAGCTGTTTTTATTCAGTACTTTTCACTACCACAGAATGGATTTTTCAAGCGGAAAAAGCGCGACCAGCTGCTGCAGGTGAAGCAGCGAATGTCCATGAACCCGAATCTCTTTCCAAACAACATAACCGGCCTGGAGCGAGACGAGAACGACGATTAACGTGGTCGACTGAAATGAAGTCATCGTGGTAGCCTTTTAACTTTGTTTTCTTTTATTATTTCAAGATCACTCCCACAGTGTGCATAATAATAATAATAAACTGAACACATACCAGTTGTGTGTGCTTTGTTTGTTTCATTTCAAAATTGATTCCTATAAATGTATATATGTAATATCAGAAAAATACTATCGACCAAAAAGGAAGATAAGAAAAAAAATAGATCAACTGATGATATACATAACTGGCATTGATCCTGCGGAGGTGAACACCTTAACATGGCTAAAAAGCCTAGCTGTTCACCTCTGCAAGTTCAAGCAGTGGTGTGGCGTTTATACATGTAGTACTGTACAAGGTAAAGAGGGGACGCGTGGATGTTGTTGGAAGAGCTGTATATGTCCACTTCTTGGGGTGAAGAGAGGGCGCAACAGGTAACAACGATTTCGAGTAATAATTGGAAAAATTGAATCCTTGTAATAAAAAAAAGTGATTATTGTACACTGTAAAGTGTGTAAACGGGAGAAGCGGTAGTTTCTATTTTAGTTTTGAGACACCTGCAAGCATTAGCAGAACTTTGCTCGCTTGTTTGAGTGAGTGGGCGAGTCCATGCACACGTCCATGGTAGAGGGTCGCTTCTCAACGTGGCGCTTGTACTCGTTGCTGATGAACTCGCTCAAATCTTCGAGATTACTGTTCCGAGGGCTTCGACGGTTGTTATTGCTTAGAAGATTGGACGGAGTTCTTAAACCTAAAGGCGAAATCAGAAGATGTAAACAAAGGGAATCGATGATGAAATGGTGACTTTTGGAAGCTTACCAGACATTGCAAGGGCTTCCCGGAAGGCCTCTAGTTTAGTTGCCTCTTGGTTGTCAAGTGAATCGGCAAACGGACTCGCTACTGAGGAATCGCTTATTGCATCAGTAAACATGAGTCGAGATGTACCTCTCGGGTTGGGAGGGTTAGTGCTGAGAAATCGTTGAATGTCCTCTGAGCTGCGAGAGGCTCGTCCGTTTCTAGCTAGGCGATGGTGGTGATAGAAGCTGCTGTGATGGCTTTTGTCCGGATAGGATCGCCCGCTAAGAAAGGAGAGCAAGTCCTCACGATGAATGAAGTTCTTTTTCTTTTTGGCCCACGTGAGCAGCTCCTTGGTTCGTTTGTTGTAGCCGTTCTGGTGGCTGATATCAAACATTTTTCTCTGAAACTCTGAACACTCCTTGTAGAGGCAGGCAACGTTAGTGGAAGCTTGCTGAAATGAGTTCCACAAGTTATGTTGGGCTGAAGAGTTATCTATAAACACGTAGAAGAAAGTTTAGCAATCATGAGGGTAAACAAAGCGAGTAGAATCTTACATTTATAGAGCTGGGCAATGTCCAGAGCACAGCTCTGAAAGTGGTTCCAAAGCTTGCGGTCGTAGATCGACTTTTCGTTTTCAAACTCATGTTCATTATCAGGCAACGCTTCAAGGGTATTGATGCACTCTTGTTCGCCAACTGAGAACTTGGGCGATCTGTCCTGGGTCTCCTCAAAGTTGTTGTCCATTTTACAAAGTATCACTTGAAAGAGAGTGATTGAGCCTGCAAAACACCCGTCAGGAAATGCCTTCAGAAAGCCTGCAGATTGTATTGCTGCCGCGGCTGCTTATAGCTGGGCGCAGTTGAACACACTGAGAGTAGCGAGAGTATATCAGTACGACGCAGAACACGAAAATGGCTCTAAAGACTTGAGCTTCATCGGTAGTAGAGTAGGCAAGTGAGAGTGCTTTTTTACCAGCCGAATGTTTTTCACAGATGATTCAATCGGGAAGATTGTTGATGATGTATATATTGAAAAGCAGAGGTGTCCAACTTTAGAGCTTTGCCCTCGATAGTGCCGAGGTGGTGGTGGTGGTAAACACAGAAAGGAAGAGAGAAACGCTCCCAGGCAGTGAGAGCAAAAAAAGCACTGCAGCAGTGAAATTAGGAAAAGGGCATGAAAGTCCGACTGGCTGTGGCTGAGGTGGTGGTGGTGGTGGTGGTGGCAGCGTCGTTGATTAGCCTCGTCGAGCCAGGAAATGACCTTGAAGAGAGTGTCTGACACCGTTGCCGACCGACTGGGGCCTGGTGGGAGGTCGTGGATTAGGTCCACCTGGGGCTACGCTGGCTGGCTGGCTGGCTGACTGGCTAGTAGTGGCAGGCCACAACAGTGGACGGACTGCGAGGACTTGTTTTGGTTACGACCACCACCACTTTTGAGGTGGCTCCTTGAGGAGAACAGCAAACAGTGTGAGCCTCTGTGTGAGGGAAACGCAACTCAACTCGACTGACTCAACTTGACTGGCTGATGCACAGGCGCTGCGCTTATGTGCTACTCACATCGCTCACATCGCCCTCCTGAGGGCGCCTCGAATAGCACACGAGAACTCAAAGTTCGCTTTTTAGAACATTGAGTTGGTTGGATTTTTATTGAGTGAAAGAAAGGAGGAAGGAGGAAGGATATGAAAATGGAATCGAGGTGCCAAATGTATATCCTGGTCGGGTGAATTCACGCAAACAGTATTGCAAACTGAGGTTATAACCTGAACTGAAGCGGTCGCTACCGAATTCGTCGCTAGAGTGTATGTTACATGTAGAGGGAGGATTGATTATCTGTGTGGTGTGTAGGAAATTAAACTTTCATAACAATAAGAACGGATTAACGGTAATAGTTAAATATGTTTGCAGATGGTGCAAAGTGTTGGAGATGAGACGACCAGCGCCGAGCATTGCCTGCTTAATCGCGCTGCTTCTTTCGCTTGTTTGAGCGATCCTGTAAAAAGACAAATGTTAGGCAAGATATACTTTTTGTCCAAATATCTTTTTACTGACCTTCTCAGAGAGGATGACCAGCAGGTGGCGGAAGATTTGAACCAGATCTTGGAAAAGCATGCAAGCGTGCCTATGATCGGGTAAAATGAAACATGAAGAAATCAGTCATGAATGAGTCAGTGAAACAATAAAACTTACATGATGTAATCAGTATCGCCACGAGCACGCAAGTCGATGATGCGAACTGTATCTATGATTACAAGCGCGCACATCACCCCAAAAGATAAATAAAGACTTGTCTGCAAAAGGTGTAAAAAGACAATTAGTAGCTGTTGCGATAAAAGAGTGACGTCAAAGGTGGAGCGTACTTTGTAGATCAAGTAGGAGTTGAGGAAGATGTTCATCAACGCCAGCGAGAAGACAAATGTAGCCACAGAGCTGGCAAGTCCGGTGATATAGAGGGACTGACGGCGGTCCGAGAAGATTGCGCTCAGCGTGAAGCAGCCAAAGATGAAGGCCGTCGAGAGGATGGCCGTCGGCAAGATGCTCGTGTCAATGTACAGAGTCATCTCGATCAGTGGTCCCATTGAAAAGCCTGCAAGGGAAGGTGTGACGTGTATTAGGGTGACGGGGAATCTTAGGTACAGCGGCTCACTTACCAGAGAAAAATCCAATGCCGAGCAGGTAGCCCAGGCGAAGGTTTCGGTTTTTGCCATTGTCCTTGGTGAACATCAGGGCCAAGCACAGGCCAAGTGTCACAAAGAGCTGCGTCAGTGGTCCCTGTTGGTAAACAAAGTGGGTAAGTGGATCGCAGTGGTGACAGATCATATTTTCTTACCAGAGTGGCCGCCAAGTTGGTGTACAGGTGCAGGTAGGCGCCCAGGGACGCCGACAGGACCGTGGCGGTCAGCGTAGAGTAGACATGCTTCAGATGGGTCTTGACTCGAGGCTCACTGTGAGAAGGACAAGACAGAGATTAGTTGGCAATGGCAATGCTGATGCAACCGGGCACTACCCGACGGCTGGCACTTACAGACGATCATTCAGCGTGCGGGTAAAGTGATCCGCAGACTCAAACAGAGTATTCATGGTGATGGTCACTGGTAGGTGTCTGAGAGTTGAGAGAGGAGAACGGTTGAGTCGGTTTGTTTTCAAAAAACAAATTCTAAATCTCAGGTTCGACGTTTCTGACTTGACTGTGTGTGACGAGGAAAACAGTGAGTACTACTGAGCGCGCATGAACAGCGGCCGCTTTTTAGTGAGAGAAAATCATTGCTTGCGTCATTCCAGGCGCCATCTAGAAAGTACTCGATGCTTTGATACAGTAGCTACTCGCTTTCCAACAGAAAAACGGTGAACTTTAGAATTTGAAGACGCGATTTCTTATTGAAAGTTATTCTAATGTTGATCAGAAAGAATTGACTAACTCTTCAAATCAACAGGTGGTGATAACTTGAATTTTGTGGTTTTTTTGGGAAAAAGATAAGCTGACATTATAACGTTGCGCAAACAAGGAAAACAAATCGAGAAAAGTATGGTAGATGTTCACTCGAAACACTTCTACCTGCGAACTGCTGATTGAATGTAATTGCATTTATTAATGAGTAAAATGTACATCAAAAAGTATTGACTGTTGTCACTTTCTACAGAAATAACAAGGTTTTTGATTGAAAAATCAACACTAATGAAAATCAACAAACAAACAACAATAAAGGAAGAGCTCTGTCAGATGTGTGCATTGGATGTGTCAGTGTTTGTGTGTGGGGGCTGAGAGAGAGGAAAGGGATGGCAATAGAAGGGGCAGTCTGGCATTGGGGGAGTGACTTTAGAAATCCTCGTCCCAACCGGTAAAATCGTCAGGGGGATCCCCTTCATTGTGGGGCGGATACGAGTCAAAGTTTGAGCTATCGCATGCGTTTTTAATCTGAAAAAAACGAGGTGAGCAGTTGATAGAGAACTGATTGCCTCTTTACACTTACAGTCGGGATTAAAGGTGGGGTCATCTTTTTGGCTTTCAAGTTCTCAAAGTTGAAAAACTTGAACCACTCGTGCTTCTTGATGTCCTCAATGCCGCCCTTCTGGTATCCCAGTCTCTCTGCGGGATTGTCCCGACAGAGCTTCTTGATGAGGTTTATTGCATCTCGAGAAATATTGCGAGGAAAGTCAATTGCATCGATCCCTTTGAGGATAATGTTGTAGGTGCGCATCGGATCGACGCCAGTGAATGGCGGCGAGCCGGTGAGCAGTTCGTACATGAGCACGCCCAGTGACCAGTAGTCGGCGGAGTGGTCGTGGCCGCGGTTCAGGATGATCTCGGGAGCCACATACTCGGGCCTGCAAACGAACACATTAGAGAATTGAGGTTCGCAGTTTGGTGCACGGTCAAACGCTTACGTTCCACAGAAGGTCCAGGTCTTTCGACCAGGGGGGATTAGTCGCTTGGCGAACCCAAAGTCAGTCAACTAAGTGGGAGAAAATGAATGGTTAAAGCCTTTACAAACTCAGGTTCTGTGTGTGGTTAGTGTGCTGACCTTGGCGTAACCAGTCTGGTCAAGGAGCATGTTCTCCGGCTTTAAATCTCGGTAGATGACGTGTCGCGAGTGGAGATAGTCGAATGCTTCAATTACACAGGCGACATAAAAGCGCGCCGTGTGCTCGTCGAAGAAGCCCTTATCACGGAGAATAGTCCATAACTCACCGCCAAGGCAAGCCTCCATCAGCATGTACAGATATTTACTATCTGTGGTGATAGTCAAGTGGTGGTGGTGGTGGTGGTTAATGGGTGGGCAATCAGTGCTGCTCATCGGTGGCCGTCAGCCAAGACCAACCGAGCAAGCCTGCGAGGGGACCTACCTTTGAACGTCTTGAAGAGCTTGGCAATGAAGGCACAGTTTAACTCGAGCATAATTTACCTTTCATTCAGTATGTGCTGCTGCTGGCGTGTCTCCACAATCTGCGCCTTCTTCATCACCTTCAGCGCATAGCTGACTGACTTGTTGTCTGCCAGGGTGACCAGCTCTACTCGGCCAAAGCCACCGACGCCCAGTGTCGCCTCCTTCCGCAGGTCGTTCAGTTGCAGGTGGGCGAATCGTTCGTTTAATCTACAAACACACACAATCATTAGTGGTCAAGTGGTAACGAAACCAAGCCGCTAGAGAACAAGAGGAAAAAGAAACAAAGGTGCCACTTTTACCTCGATAAAGCATAGTAAGCAGAGCCTTTTTGTAGGTAGCAGATGACAGAGAATGTTAGAGAGAGTTAGTGTTAGTAATGTTAGAGAAAGGATGTTGTGGTCAGAATGTTAAGGGGGGGGAAAGAGGAAGCGGAAAAGCCTGCAAACTCAAACACTTACATTTTTCTCTCGGTAATGTCCTGGTCGTACCGCTTTGTCTTGACGTCGTCCAAGTTGCTAATGAGCTGCTTGAATGAACTGCAAAGGAAAGGTGAAGATACATGAATGATGAGTGTGCAACAGTACAGAAAGTGATGCAGGCATACTCTCGGTCAATGACGAGACAGGTGACTATTGGCGACTCGGCGATGATGTTTGCGGAGCGAGTTTCCTCTCCCTGCAGGGCACGCTCACCAAAGAATTCACCCTTGGTCTGCGTGCGAATCAGCTTTCCTTGACTTAGGGAGGGGTGCATGTTGTTGTTGATGATGCTATTGTTGTTGTTGTTATTGGCAGCAGACGCACTCGAGTCACCCTCATTGATGGTCACCCTGACGGAACCGCTGACGATAATGAAGAATGTATCACCCTTTTCACCCTGGCGAATAATGTAGTCGCCGTGGTGGTAAA